AGAACTAGATAGCAATAAAATACAAAGGGGAACTCAGAACATAAGTTCGGATACTTCTGCCAGATATCAGCCTCTCTCTCTCCCGAGTCGCCTCATCCTCGCCACGCCGGCTCCATCGCACCTTTGACGAGTCTAGCTGCCCGGTTTCCCAGCTGATGAACCCTCCGGTCCAAAACAGCCACCGGCACCTCAACCTAGGTAAGGTCTCACTCAACCCGCAACTCGCCAAAGTCCACACCACATGCTCAGGGTCACGCACGCTCTCACGAAACATCACACGTGGAATACGTCGTGAACCCCGCCAAAACTAGTGGTAAAACCAACCGGTATGCTAGGTCACCGACTCGTTCGAGTATCACACATGGCCTTGAATCACGACTGAAGTTTTCCCCTCTTCCTGAAACGGATCACACCCTACCTCGGTGCATCCTTCAGGAACACAGGATAACCTACCTCGATCCAGTACAACGACGTTCACAACATACGCCCGTACAACTTCTCACAACGCATCTATCAACACACAAGACTCCAAACAATCTTCCAGTGTATTGACATCATGCTACAAACCTCCCCCAACAGGGGTCGTCACGGGGTACCAAGCTTCAGTACCGTGCCCGGGTCAAGCTGAAAACTTGTACACTAACACACTCTTCATAGTCTCAACCTATGAAGCATCATAGTCTCCAATCGAGACTCGTGAAACCGCTCGACAACACTGCGGAGTCACAAATTTTCCAATTTGAGATCATCTCACATATGGCATAGGATTCTAATCATCAAATCCCTCTTGTCGAAATATATTGATCTAGGGGAAACCCATTAACGGTTCAGTGAAGCTTGGAGCTCTCGGTTCAAGGTTCAGAAGAAAGCTTTAATGTCAGGTGTCGACCGTACACACTGTCCTGGGGAGTTCGTGCGTTCGGTGATGGTGGCTGCAGCTCACGTGCGAGTCAACGATCGGCCCCGGCCGGTAGCCTCACGTCTCTCAGCAGGGCTTGCATGCTCGACCACCACTTCGCGTAGCTACACCCAGTCAGGGTCGGTGTTCGGGTCAAGGTGCAGTCAAAAAGTTCTCGATTCCATGGCTCAAAATCTCCAAGGTTTCCGGATA